ACAGATGATTCTACAAGGAATTCTGCACACAGAAGATGAAAACAAACAAAACCACGAGAGGACAGGAAGCATCAAACCACAGAAGACAAAAAGACAAGCAATCAGAGAGTAGCATTGATTCAACAGCACACAATCAAATCCTTAAACAACAAAAACAACTTAATGGCAGGAATCACTATATATGTATCAATATTAACACTGAATGTTAACGGACTCAATTCCCCATGAAAAGACACCATTTGGCAAACTGGATTAAAAAGGAAGATCCAACAATCTGTTGCTTACAGTGAGACCCATCTCATTGACAGAAATAAACACTATTTTAGGGTGAAAGGCTGGAAGAAGATTTATCAAGCTAATGGCCCCCCCAAAAGGAAGGAGTACCAATACTTATATCAGACAAAGTAGACTTCAAATTTACATTGGTCAAATGAGATAAAGAAGGACACTTCATACTAATAAAAGGGGCAATACATCAAAAAGGAAATAAAAATCATCAACCTATATGCACCCAATGTCAGTACACCCAATTTCATCAAACATACACTAAAGGACTTAAAAGCACATACAGACTCCAACACAGTGGTAGTGGGAGACTTTAATACTCCTCTATCACCAATAGATAGGTCATTCAAACAAAAAATCAACAAAGAAATCCTAGAACTAAATGACACCATAAATCAAATGGACCTAACTGATATCTACAAAATACTTCACTCAACAACAACACAATATACATTCTTCTCAGCAGCCCATGGAACTTTCCCCAAAATTGATCACATCTTAGGACAAAAAACAACCCTCAGCAAATACAAGAAAATAGAAATAACCCCCTGCATTCTATCTGCATTAAAACTAGAGCTCAACAACAAAAACAGCAGCAGAAAACAGGCAAATAATTGGAGGCTGAATAGTACATTGCTCAACGATCAGTGGGTCATAGTAGAAATAAGAGAGGAAATCAAAGGGTTCCTGGAAGTTAATGAAAATGAAAACATGACCTACCAGAACCTATGGGATACAGCAAAGGCAGTCCTGAGAGGAAAGTTTATAGCCATGAGAGCATATATTAAAAAGACAGAAAGATCTCAAATAAATGACCTAATGCTATATCTCAAACTCCTAGAAAAATAAGAGAAGCAAAACCCACAACAAACTAAAGGAGAGAAATAATAAAAATAAGGGCTGAAATTAAGGAAACAGAGACCAAAAATAAATAAAGAAAGAAAAAGAATCAATGAAACAAAAAGCTGATTCTTTGAAAAAATAAATAAGATTGATAAGCCCCTGTCAAATCTGACTAAAATGAGGAGGGAAAAGTCTCAAAATAGTAAAATCAGAATGAAAAAGGGGAGATAACAACAAACACCATGGAAATTCAGGGAATCAGAGATTACTTTGAGAACCTATATTCTAATAAATTGGAAAATCTTGAAGAAATGGACAAATTTCTAGATACTTATGACCATCCAAAACTGAACCAAGAAGACATTAATCACCTAAACAGATCTATGACACATAATGAAATTGAAGCAGCAATAAAGAGTCTCCCAAAAAAGAAAAGTACAGGTCCTGAGGGATTCTCAGCTGAATTCTACCAGACCTTCAAAGAAGAAGTAACACCAACATTCCTTAAACTTTTCCACAAAACAGAAAAGGAAGGAACACTACCAAACTCATTCTATGAAGCCAGTATTACATGCTTCCCAAAACTGGACAAGGACACATCCAAAAAAGAGAACTACAGGCCAATCTCCTTAATGAACACTGATGCAACAATCCTCAATAAAATAATGGCAAACCGAATCCAACAACATATCAGAAAGATCATTCACCATGACCAAGTCGGCTTCATCCCAGGGATGCAGGGGTGGTTCAACATATACAAATCAATAAATGTAATACAGCACATTAATAGAAGCAAAGACAAAAACCACATGATCATCTCAACAGATGCAGAAAAAGCCTTTGATAAGATTCAACACCACTTCATGATAAAAACTCTAAGAAAACTAGGAATAGAAGGAATGTACCTCAACATTATAAAGGCTATATATGACAAACCTATAGCCAACATCATACTTAATGGGGAAAAACTGAAACCATTTCCCTTAAAATCAGGAACGAGAAAAAGGTGCCCACTCTCCCCACTCTTATTCAATATAGTCCTGAAATTCCCAGCCAGAGCAATAAGGCAAGAAGAAGAAATAAAAGGAATACAAACAGGTAAAGATACAGTCATGATCCTGTACCTCAAAGACCCAAAAAACTCTACTCAAAAACGTGTAGACACCATAAGCAGCTTCAGCAATGTAGCAGGTTACAAAATCAACTTACAAAAATCAGTAGCCTTTCTATACACCAACAAGGAACAAATTGAGAAAGAATATAAGAAAACAAGTTCATTTACAACAGCCTCAAAAAAAAAATCAAATACCTAGGAGTATTTGATTTAAAGAAGGACATAAATGATATCTGTAAGGAGAACTACAAACCACTGAAGAAAGAGATCAAGGAAGACTACAGAAGATGGAAAGATCTCCCATGCTCATGTAGTGGCAGAATCAACCTAGTAAAAATGGCTATACTACCAAAAGAAATCTACATACTCAATGCAATTACCATCAAAATTCCAATGATATTCATCACAGAGATTGAAAAATCTATCCTAAAGTTCATTTGGAAACACAAAAGACCACGAATAACCAAGGCAATACTCAGCAAAAGGAGCAATGCTGGAGGTATCACAATACCTGACTTCAAACTATATTACAGAGCGATAGCAATAAAAACAGCATGGTACTGGCATAAAAACAGATATGAAGACCAGTAGAACAGAATAGGGGACCCAGATATGAATCCACACAGCTATACCCACTTTATTTTTGACAAAGGCGCCAAAAACATATGATGGAGAATAGACAGCTTCTTCAACAAGTGTTGCTGGAAAAAGTAGTTATCTGCCTGCAGAAAACTGAAACTAGATCCATGTTTATCACCCTATACTAGTATCAACTCAAAGTGGATTAAGGACCTTAATCCACCTGAAACTCTGAAGTTAGTACAGGAAAGAGCAGGGAATATTCTGGAAGAAATAGGTATAGGCAAGGACTTCCTAAATAGAACTCCAGCAGTCCAGCAACTAAGAGAAAGGATGGACAAGTGGGACTACATGAAATTAAAAAGTTTCTGCACAACAAAAGAAATGGTTTCTAAACTGAAGAGACCACCCCACAGAGTGGGAGAAAATATTTGTAGCAATACGTCAGACAAAGGACTGATAGCCAGAATATACAGGGAGTTCAAAAAACTAAACTCCCCTCAAATCAATGAACCAATAAAGAAGTGGGCAACTGAACTGAACAGAACTTTTTCAAAGGAAGAAATCCAAACGGCTAAAAAACACATGAAAAAATGTTCACCATCGCTGGCCATAAAGGAAATGCAAATCAAAACCACACTAAGATTCCACCACACTCCTGTTAGAATGGCTAGCATCAAGAACACCACCAACAACAAATGTTAGTGAGGACATGGGGAGAAAGGAACTCTTATACACTGCTGGTGGGAATGTAAGCTAGTACAACCACTTTCAAAAACAATATGGAGGCTTCTTAAAAAACCTAAACACAGATCTACCATATGATCCAGCAATACCACTCCCAGGAATATACCCAAAGGAATGCAACTCAGATTATTCCAAAAGCACCTGTGCACCCATGTTTATTGCAGCACTATTCACAATAGCCAAGTTATGGAAACAGCCAAGATGCCCCACTACTGACGAATAGATTAAGACAATGTGGTATTTATCCACAATGGAATTTTATGCAGCCATGAAGAAGAATGAAATTTTGTTATTCAAAAGTAAATGGATGGAACTGGAGAACATCATCTTAAGCGAAGTTAGCCAGGCTCAGAGGCCAAAAATTGCATATTCTCCCTCATATGCAGATTATAGACCCAAAACAAGTACAGTAATATTATTGGACAGGGGTCACACACTAAGGAGAGAACATGCACAGGAGCAATAGGGAAAGGAAAGGAAACCTAAAACCTGAATGTGGTTGATGTGCTCCCTGTTGAGGAGTGAATAAAATAATCTTAAATTGGCAGAGGCCACTATGGGAAGGGGACCAGGAAGTAGTGAAGAGGTCTGGTAGAAACGAACCAATGTGGGTTGCAATACAAAAGTGCATGGAAGCAACACTAGGAATCTCTCTGTATAGCTATCATTAATCTCAAACTAGCAAAAGTGATGTCTTTCTTATTATCTGCTATGTTTTCTATTCAACATACTTGGAGAAGAGAGTGGAAAAGGTTCTGCCCCGAAGCAGGGCTGGGGGTTGGGGTGGGGAGGTGGAGGTAAGGGGATTGGCACAAATAATGTATACACATATAAGTACATGTAAAAACAATAAAATGGGGGGGGCATGGCTCAAGTGGTAGAGAGCCTGCCTAGCAACCATGAGGCCCTGAGTTCAAACCCCCAGTACCACAAAATAAACAAATAAATAAAATAAAATGAGAAAAAAAAAAAAACACTCCTAGCAAACAACAAAAAAATAAAATAAGTTTTGCGTATGACCAAGCACAGAAAACAGAATAGTAAAGAAGGGAAATGCTGCTTCCCTGCCAGTAGAGAAACAATAAGTACTGGATGGTAGAAAATATTTCCTACTGAGTCCATTAGTCTCTTAGAATGAGAGCTCAGGTCTCTACACCAGCTTTTGTGGACAAAAATACCTCACATAAGTGCTGATGGCTCATGCCTATAATTCTAGCTACTCAGGAGGTATAGATCAGAAGGATCACTGTTAGAAGCCAGCCAGTGCATATAGATCGAGAGACCCTATTTGAAAACATCCAACACAAAAAAGGGCAAGTGGAGTGGCTCAAGTGGAAGAGTGCCTGCCTAGAAAGTGCAAGACCCTGCGTTCAAACCACAGGACAGCCCAAGGAAACAAGGTGGAATTTCAATCATCAGTAGATAAACTCACCTGGGATCTGGCTGTGAGGCGCAGGGTTGCCACTCCTCCCTCTTCTGTGCTCTTCTCTTGGGAAAGGGGAAAATCCTGGGAAGACAGAGCTAAGGGCAAGAGAGCAGTAATGATGGGGCCTAGACCAACAGGCTGCAACTCAGTCTTACAAGTCTAAAAATACCTCCACCATTCTAAATATGCTGTTTACTGAGGGACAGTGATGGAAGCCCACAACAACCTACTCCCTCCAAGGAGTATGGAAGATGCCCAGGAATGTTGCTCTCCAGGTTTAAATATAACACATCCTGGAAGGTGGTACTGTCTGATCTAGAAATTAGAATAAATCAGTTACTCTCCAGGTCTAATCTATATAAAGTTAATGTCAGGGAAGTAGGTTCAGTAGTTCACAAAAATTATTCTAAAAGCATACTTAAAATGTAAATTGCTGGACCTCACCTCAAAGCCATTATTAGAGTTTGAGTACAATCTAGAAATTTAACAAGCAGGGGATGAGGGGCGAGGGGGGGCAGTGTTTGGGTGTAGGAGGTCACAGACCAAACTTCAAGAAACACTGGTCTAGCAGTACTACAAGTCAGTCCCTGACTTCTAAGCCTGTTTTTTTTTTTTTTTTCCATATGTTAAACAAGAAACATGTTCTGTATAGGAACCACAGAGTAACTGTAGGGATAAAGTGGGATAACATGTGTGGGAAAGTATTTTTGGCAACCACAAGGCTGAATTCTCAAACCCACTGACGGAGACAAGGATGGAATCATTTGGAAAAAATAACATGTGAGAAAAATAGTTACGGCCATGCTCACACCCAGAAGCTTAGTCTTTTGCTTACATTAGGTGCTACTTTGAACGGTGCATACATAGTGCACCACGCTAGTGTCGAGGGGCGGGGAGGTTCAACCCAGAGGAAGCCCTCCACACTCACTCAAGGAGCCCATTCACCCCCAAAACAATGCAAACAGCGCTGTCTGAAAGAGCCACAGATCCTCAGGCCACGATTTTCCTTCCAAAAGGGCAAGTTCAACACCTGAGCAATGCTACCTCCTTTCTCGGGCACTTGGGCCAAATCTGTCTTCACGATTACCACCTCCTCCATGTCCCGAGGATTTTGCTCTTCACTTAATTCCGACCTCTCTAGCCAGAACAGGGAGAAGTCCCCAGGGCCTCCAGGGTTGTGCGGAAAGGTCACGATCTGGTCAGCTCGGGTTTCTAGGTCCTCCGGAGCGCGAGCCTGGAAACGCCGGGACAGCCATCTGAGGCTGGGTCCTCTCAGATGCCTGTTGAATCTGTCCCTGGGGGATGGAGCACCGGAGAGACAGTGCTGGGGCTGCCGCGAACGCGCCAGGTGCCCAGACATGCCCCGCCGCGCTCGGAGCACCTGCCCCAGACCCTCAACTGCCCCGCGCGCCCCCAACTCCACTCCTCTCGCCCGGCCCGTGCGCACCCGCCAGCACCGCGCTCGCATCCCGGTCCCGGGGGGCAGGGATTTCGGCCCGAGCGCGACGGGTTGGGGTTCAAGGTCTGTGCGCTCCCAGACCCGGCACGGAACGACCCCTGGCCACCGCAGAGGCGGAACGGAGAGGAGCGGCATTGGACCAACCAACTTACCTCCCATCACCAGCCTGACAAAGGCTGTGAACTTCTTGGGCCAGCTAGGAGTCGCGCATGCGTGAGGAGCCGCGCCCGGAACTACAATTCCCAGAAGTCCCTGCGCGCCGCCAGCCTCTGTCCTCAGAAACTGGGAGCCCAAGAGCCGCGGCTGGGAGAATCAGAACTCTCCGGAGCTTCTTCAGTCTCGCGAGAATGCAGGATTGCGTCTCCAGTGACTGATCGCCCAACAAGGTAGGCGTGGCAACTTTCCGTGCTGCTGAATTCAGCGAAAATTACTCTACAGTAAGGTGTATGATAGCATATGGCTATAATCCATGCTTATGTTCTCCCCATACTCATCCTTTGCCTTCAAACAGTATGGAAGGTATACTTTTAGGAACAGCAGTTTCCTGCTTGCACACTCATTTCAATGCTGCTGTATTCATAGACTACTTGTAATCATAAAGATTCACATATGAGAAAAGTTGAAAAAATTGAACTACTTTCAACAAATTTGAGCAATAGGTTCTTGCAGGCAAAATGAAACGTGATTAAGCCTGTCCACAAACCTCAAACTAAAACTATTCCTGATATTACTGCCAGCTCCAAAATATCTTCAAGGTTTTTTTCCTTACCTAATTATCACCAAATCTTATTTATTATATTTGTTAAATAATTCTCTAACTTGTCCATTTCTCTCTCTTCTCATTTAGCATTACCTTAGTTTAAGCCTGTTAGGAAAACGCCACACACTGCACACAAAGGAGGCTCAGGAGAGGTATCTCATGTCCAAAAGTTTAATAAGCAGGCTGGCTGGTGGGGGTGATGTGAAGGGGGGTTGGGGTGTGGGTGTGGGGTGTGGGGTGTGGCGCAGCAGCTTCTCACGGTGGGTCTGGCCTTAAGTAGCATTTGGGAGAAAGCAAGGCTAGGGATGGGCAAAGAGAGGTGGCAGGAGATAAGGAACAGTGGGGCTTTGTTCTGCAAGGGATGAGACCAGCTACTGAGGCAAGGTCTAGGGGCGGGCAAAAGAAGGTGGCAGGAGATAAGGAACAGTGGGCTTTGTTCTGCAAGGGGTGAAACCAGCTGCGGTTCAGGCTACAGAATGGTGGAAAGGGGCAGTTCTTATCATTCCCCCATTTTTTGTTTATTAGAGAGGGAGAGAAAAAGGGTTGGGTATTGGGGTGCAGTTTGAGCCTCTGGATGCTTCTGGCTGGTGGGGGGCAGCGCATGTTCTCAGGTAGGGTCCTTAGGGTTTGGTGTCTCTATAGGGGTTTGTGGGGGTCCCCTCGGTGGTCCCGGAGGGGTAGATATCCTTGGAGGAGGAGTTGATTGAATCTTTGGTTGGTGGCTGCAGATATGCAATCTAGTAAAAAATTTTGTAAAGTTTTTATAATGCAGGGGAGAAAGCTCAGGAGGGTAAAGACACAATAAGGGGTGCTAGGAAAGGCAGGAGCCAAGAGAGCAGAGGAGATTGAATCCAATCTAGGACAGAGGAGTTTTTAGTCCTGCAAAGTTGGATTTCTTCGCTTAAGCGAGACAGGGTATTAATATTTTGTTCTACTAGGCCTGACTCATTAATATAGTAACTGTTAGAAAAACGCCACACACCGCACACAAAGGAGGCTCACGAGGGGTATCTCATGTCCAAAAGTTTAATAAGCAGGGGGGCAGGCTTAAGTAGCATTTGGGAGAAAGCAAGGACTAGGGACGGACAAAGAGAGGTGGCAGGAGATAAGGGACAGTGGGGCTTTGTTCTGCAAGGGGTGAAACCAGCTGCGGCTCAGGCTGTAGAATGGTGGCAAGGGGCAGTTCTCATTATTCCCCCATTTTTTTGTTTAATAATGATGAGGGTAGGGGCTGAGGATCAGGAATTGGGGCAAAGCATCGGTCTCTTTAGCTGCTTCCTGCTGGCAGGGGTGTTCTATGGGGCAGGATCCTCAGGCTCCTGTGGCGTCCTGGGTGGGGCCTTCACAGTAGTTTTTCCAGGAGGTTTTGGAGAGGTTGATGTCCCTGGAGGTACAACGGGTTAAACTTTTGATTAGCAGTAGCTGACATGTAGTGTGATACAAGGGAGGAAGCTTAAGAATAGGAGAGCAAGAACACAGGCATCAGGATGGGCATTGGCCAGGAGAACCACTGTGAAATGTTGTTCTCTAGAGGATTTTAAGAGTCCATTACTTAAGAGGTGCTGCCATTGGGGGATCCTATTGAGCCTGACAGCAGTGGGTGTCGTGAGAATGACCAGATGAGGGCTGGTCCATCGAAGCCCCAATGAGAGGGTAGAAGATCTTTTAGGAGAAAAAGATCCCCTGGTTTAACAGAAATTGTTATAGGGTGGGGCAGGATCTGGTCTGTATGCTCTTTGAGAAGTTCCCTGAGAAGGTTAAGATAAGGCAGGTAGTCAGCCAGAGGAGCAGGGTCTGTTGGAGGCAAGTTTTCTAAGAGACATGGGTGGTCATATATTATTTAAGACCCAAATAGGAATATTAGGAGGAGCATAAAAAGGTGTCTGCTAAGGGACTGCATACCTAGGGATCTAAATTTTGTAAAATCCTATAACTCCCAAGCTTGCTGTAAGCTGTCTTATGGTATGGGGGAGGGAAATGGAAGATTGGGTTGATTTACTCATGACTCAGGGAGTGAGTCTGTCCCTTAAGAACACACCGAGGTAGGTGACCTGAGGGAGACATAATTGAGCCTTCTCCTTAGAGACTTTGTATTCCCGGAGGTGAGAAAGTTTTAAAAGAGACTCAGTTACATTGCAGATAAGAGGCTCTGTGGCTCTGCATTGAAGAAGGGTGGCCTCTGGGTAGTGCCAAGCTAATAAGTCTCTGCTTAGGGCCTGTCCGCAAAGATGAGGGCTGTCTTTAAATTCTTGTGGCAAGACTGACCAGGTTAGTTGTTATGAAGCATTTGTGGGACCTTTAAAGGTAAATAGAGGCTGACTGTCAGAATGTAGGTTAAATGTAACACTTTTGGATAAAAGAGAGATTTAGCTCATCATTTTACATAAACTGACACTTTTAACTCTGTAAATGTTTGTGCCATATTTAGATAAAGTCTACACACCAAACACAGTTACAAGGTGGTCATTTAAGAGACCGTTGCATGAGCAAATATATAAATGAACTCTGATTTAGTAGTACTTAAAGTTTGACAAGATCAACAGAAAACACAAATAATTTCTTTGATTAAGTCTTTTTCTGTAATGGTTTTTTGTAGATGTTACTTAGAACAGAATAATATTAAGATAACCGTGTTATTTTATAGACATAGAGAATTTGATTTTAGTTTGATATGACCTTAAAAATCTTTTAGGCAACTCTTAGATTATACTTAACTTTAGCTTTATTATACATTGAAGCTTTTTATTATATATTTTTAAAACTTACCCAGACTTTTATGTAACATATTAAACCTTTTGATGTCTGAAGTGGCATTAATACCATTTATCCTCTTTATTATTATTTTTGATTTAGTAATGTTGGGGAATTGAACCCAGGGCTTTGCACATGCTGGGCAGACATTTTTCCATTGAGCTACTTTTTTAGCCCCAAATATTTTTTTGTCTTTGGCTGTGCTGGATTTGAACTCAAGGCTTTATGCCTGCAAAGTGGCACTCTACTGCTTGAGTTATATCATTAGTCCCTTTTAGTGTGGATCAGTTAAGGGGACTGTCTGTGCCCCTGTAGGCAGGTGTATTTATTTCCTCATTTCTAGGTGTCACTAGCATTGGGGCTTATTATAAATGGTAATCATTTTTAACCTGAGTGGCCTGGGCCAGAACCCACTGAATTTTTAATGAGACAAGAGTCTGGTCTAAAAAATCATATGTTCTCCCTCATATGTGGACATTAGATCAAGGGCAAACACAACAATGGGATTGGACTTTGAGCACATGATAAAAGCGAGAGCACACAAGGGAGGGGTGAGGATAGGTAAGACACCTAAAAAACTAGCTAGCATTTGTTGCCCTTAATGCAGAGAAACTAAAGCAGATACCTTAAAGCAACTGAGGCCAATAGGAAAAGGGGACCAGGAACTAGAGAAAAGGTTAGATCAAAAAGAATTAACCTAGAAGGTAACACCCACGCACAGGAAATCAATGTGAGTCAATGCCCTGTATAGCTATCGTTATCTCAACCAGCAAAACCCCTTGTTCCTTCCTATTATTGCTTATACTCTCTCTACAACAAAATTAGAGATAAGGGCAAAATAGTTTCTGCTGGGTATTGAGGGGGGGGGAGCGGGAGGGGGTGGAGTGGGTGGTAAGGGAGGGGGTGGGGCCAGGGGGGAGAAATGACCCAAGCCTTTTATGCACATATGAATAATAAAAGAAAAAAAAGAGTCTGGTCTAGTAGAAGCATAATATCTTTTCATGTCAATTGAAAGGTTTGGATCACAGAGATAAAGGCTTGAATGTATTTGTCTGGGCATCAGTACAGCTGTCCAGATGTTTTTAAATTTTTCTTAGATCTGATAGCTGGAAGGGGACATAGATTGGCCCTCTTCCTACCATTACCTATTGAAGGGGGAAGCACTCATTAGGACGTTTTGAATATTGGGGTGGCTTAGAA